CCTTAAACCATGGTATGATGTTTAACAGCCGTATGATAATATTTCGTATTAGGATGGAGAATTTAATTTGCTCATAGTCATCTTGGCTGCTTGGAGAATAGTTCAAGCTAGTGCACCTTTCTTGTTTGCAGTCCTTCAAAAGAAGTAGGGTTTGTTAATTTATTTTCCCCTTATTTTGTTTGCTCCAGTGAGAGACTGTAAAAAGATGGAAGTCTTTTTACACATATTTGCTTTAAAAATTGTTTCAATTTTCAGTTCTAATAAATAATTTATTAAAACAAAACTGTCTTTTGGTTTATTCCTTAAAGAGTTATTGTGAATAATATTTATTTAGAAACTGAAATGAGGTGAAAGGATGATGTTCATTTCTTCAGTGGGGTTTTTTTGTATAATTTTCTAAACACATAAAGTAAATGACACCACAAGAACAGGCAGGCAAATGCACAAAACAGTTATTCTTTAGACTGCAATGAGTTCCTAAGACTAGGACAGAAGCGATAGCATTCATCAATACCATTAAGAATGCTAAGTTTATATATGGGTGCCACTGTTTAAGTAGTGGAAATGGATGTAAAGCTTAGTTTTCATATAGTCCATTAAGTGTTTTAGGTTGTCTCGATTTATCTACTTAGTTTCTTGAGTTTACGATGATGCATTACTTCCCTCAGTCAGTGAGTGAATCCAGTTCAAAGTGGCAAATGTAATTTTTGGCTATTTTTTGTTCCTAGGAGATACTTGTTGTTCCACAATAGCAAATATGGCCACAAGTGATTGTTTATTTAGTTGAATAGTTATTTTAAAAATGTGTGACAGTGTTTTTAAGATTCAACTCCAATACATACAAAAATTAGGACACTGGCAAAAAGACCGTCAAAGAAGCTGTGACCCAGTTTCAGTCCTTTGCATGTTGAGTGTGCTTGTAGACATTTTAGTGGATTTAGCTTTGCAAAAATAAAGGTGTAACAATTGAAGTCCACAATGCTGTTAGTTATTGCACCTAGAAATTCTCATACCATTGCAACCCTAATAGGGAATTAAAAAACATTAACAGCTACAAAGAATGTGGGACAAGTTGTAAAAGTACATGCTCCCTTGGCACCCTACTTCTGACCCCACCGATCTTCATACATCTCCATCACCCTGGGTCAACACACCTGAATCAAATGATTAGTTCATTACCAGGCCTCTGGAGAACTTCAAGCCATGTTGAGGAGGTCATTTAGCCTTTTAAATAAGCTGTGTTGGATCAAGGACGCATCTAAAACCTGCAGGACACCGGCCCTCGAGGCCTGGAGTTCGACACCTGTGCTCTAAAGCAATGGCTGTAGAAAACATGGATTGCACAACAGCTCTCCAAAAATGAAGACAAAATGTCTCTATAGCCCCCTGGTGTCCTTACTGCCAAAAGCAAAGCTCTTATTTTTGCTAATAAAGAACAACTCTGTCAAAAGTCTTTTTGTTTTTTATGACATCAGTCTCACTTTCACATAACAATGTCTGCAGCTTAGCTTTTTGTATTCACTTTGCTTTTGACAAGCTGTCTTCTGTGGATGACAAGAAGACAGCTTTAACCCTGACCCCAGCCCTCTTTGCATCACTTCTGTGAGAGTCTTAACCCAAAATCAAACTGTGCCTCCACTGTTTTGCACTTTGATCAGAAGACACCTTTCAGCCATATCACAGTGTTGAAGAAGAAAACTCATGACTCATGCCCACAATGCAATGGTCATGTAATATGAAGTTCCCTGTGTGACGTTTTAAGTTTCAGTGTAAGTTTCACGAAGCAGTTCCTTGACTGGGTTTTAAAAAGTTGCAAAATAAAAGCAATGTTAATTCTGAGAGTGACAAGGAAAGGAGAAAGCTTAGTCATCAAGCTTTTTTTCCTCATTCTTCTAAAAACACTTTACCTGTCTTAAGTGTTACTTGATAGGCCAATTTTTACATACATTTCCTTTTCCCATTTGCAGGCCTTGCTGTCAGCAAGCAGTCCTGCAACATATTAGGTGACCATTCAGCAAGACAATTTCAAGGGAAGTGTTTTAAGACAAACAGGGCATGATCCTGGCTGACCTTTAAGCTGTTGAAAGTACGTTACCACTGTCATTTTATAACACCTGTATCTGCAGCCAGCTTGGCCACAGAGATGATAAAGCAGAGCTGTAACTGAACATGCAACTTAGAAAATGCTTATTTTCCAAGTTTCAATAATTCACTTCTGAAGTATCTAACCTGAACATTCAGTAAACAGGCCTGCAGAGGAATCTTTATGAAGAAGAGAGGTTGGGATCAGGTCACACTGAGCTAAGCTCTCTGAAATGTAATTCGTATCTAATCAAACCAGTCTGCCCAGAATGGTGTGTTGATAGTCATGTGTTAGGTGAGAGAGAGAGGGAGGGTGTGTGTCTGTGTGTGTGAGTGTGTGAGTGTAGAGTGACCAAAGTAGGAGCAACAGTTACATGATAAGGTACTAGTTTGAATTTCTCTTTGCAGAGAAGTTCTTTTGTTTCTGTGGAGATGTAAGTGCTCACACAATGGATTTATAGCACAGGAAAAGGAAAGAAGAAAAAGGAGACCTCAGTTTTTAACTTATCACAGGTAAATATTTAACTGTCCTTAAAGCAATTTTAGCCACGATTCAAGCAGCAACAGAAGGTCTGTGCAGTAGTGAAGTGTATGTCTGTTTTTACCTTTTACCTGTCCTTTTAAATTCTGTGACCTAGCAACACATTGTATAATTGCCTTAGATTTTTGCTTTGTCTTAATAGAAACATTAGGTACTGCTTTTTCCGTCGTGTTACACAGAGCAGGTCCAGTGCTCTTTGACGAAACAATTTCTGATAGGAGTTAAGCATTTTTTAGAAAAGAGATACAGCTGTACTGTTTTTCTTCACCAGAGGGAACGCTCAGATAATACCAGGGCGTTTGGACATTTGGTAGGTATTTAGTGTGCACATGTCTAGAGTCTTAGAATTTTTGGTAAAGGTGCAGGTGTAAAACTTTGTTAATGCCACTAACTGTATACAACAGCTTTAGAAGAAAAATGATATTTTTTATACTGTTTTTCTTTTGGCAAATTAAAGAAAGTTGAAGAAAAATGTTCATCAGGCTCTGCTTTACTACATTCAACATGAAGGAAAACAGTAGTTAAGCTGATATATGTCTAGACTCATTTGTGCTTTATTATTATATATTATGCGCAATCCAGGTTCAGTGCCTCAAAACTGGACCGTGGATTCAATTAGTTGGGCCAAATTATAACAACAGTCACCAACAACTAGAACATTGTTTTTCCCTGCAAAGCTTGTTTGCTTTTCTCTTTGAGGACAATCCAGTAAATGGGTTTGTTTGTTTTTTTTACTTTTACTAAAAGGTTTTCAGCGAAAAAGACCAATGACTAAAAGACCAGCCGAGATTTTAATTATTTGTCAATGATCTGTCACTGAGTGTCCTTTGCTATATTTTAATAATGTGTTGATACGTATTATTAGCTATTAGTCTAAAAATAGGAGAATACAATTTTTTTTAAAATCCAGTTCCCAAGTAAGTGTCCAAGTAACATCTTCAAGCTTTATATTGTCATACACATGCAGTCTGAAACTGTAATAGATTAATCGACATTAATTGATTCTTCCTAACTAGATGATCATTTCAAAATCAGTGCTGAATATTTTTGTAAATTTCACTGTTGGTTAACATCAGAAACAATGTATTGTTAATGTATACAGTGTGTAAAAACAATTAAGAATTTTAAAAAATCTATACAATTAAGAAAACACTTTTTCCATCTGGGAATGCAAGTAAATATCTGTCATTTGGAATCTTAATTTAAAAAAATAACAACATGCTTTACTATTTTTTCCTGCTTTTTTGTAACAGCGAATTCGAAAACTTGTGGATAACAACAATAATAATAATTTTGATTATAGTGCTTGGGTATACTGATGGATTAAACATTAATGTTAGTTTAATTCACTGTGGCATTACATGCATAGTAGTGTAATAATTTTTTTAAGCACTGTATATATATTTTTTTTACATACATTACATTACATACCTGCTATTAGCAGGTCCTTTAATCCACCCAGCTATGGTCCTCACATGGTCTGTGTTCCTGTATTGCAGAGGTATGTGCAGACCACATGGCCGCAGAAAGCCATGGTGACTCTTATAGACTACCCAGCTCCTATGGAGCTGTTTTCAAAAGCTGGAGAGCTGAGAATGCCATTTTCTGATGTGGTCAAATACTGCATTCTGGGTATCTCCATCATTCTCCTGCTGCTGGCTCTGGGCATCTTAGCCTGGCAGATCTACAGATTCTGCACAGAGAAATACACCACATACACCCAGCAAGATGCAGGTGAGTAGGAATTACATTACAGTAAGACTCAGTGTAGTGCATATTGACAAGCTAGAGTGACTGTGACACAAATTATTAAATGTATGGTTGTGTCTGTTTTCTGCAACAGGGCATAATGATTTGCTGTATTCAGACGAAGGGCCAACAACAACAGGAAACTACTCAGGAGCTCCAAGTACCAAAGTAAGAGGAAACTTTATCACAATTGAGCACTAATGTGCACATGGTCTTGACCAGACTGGATAAACCAGGTTAAGAGAAAATCCTGCTTCAAGTAATCTGCTGTCTTTCAGTTGATACTTGGGATTTGTGCATCTGAACAAGGTGAAATGTAATATATTGCTGCTAATTTCTTTCGGACAGTTATTGAGTTACATGTTAAGATTCTGGAACAGAATTGGTGAGAAATTCAGGACATATTTAGGACTGCTTAAAGAAAAATGAAGTGAATTTTTCTGAAAATTGTAGATTCACGGTGTGATCAGGTAATGCTGATTTCCTTAAACGTGAGAATTTTCAGTGGGAAATTAGTAAAACAGGATGATATAAATACCACACAATTAAGAGTTTTAATATATTTTGTACCACAGAAGTCAGCATTTAGCGTGTAACTCTACTAAGGACTTTTTTAGAGGACTGTCAGAGAGAAGGCAGATAAGTAAACCACAGGCTGGGTGGGGTGTTTGTGTGGATGTGTTTGAGAAGTCGGCAGTTTATTTGGATAGTCTGCTGTTTGCTTCGTACCACATGACTGACCCGTGTCAGGAAAAGTTCTGCTGAGTGTAAAAACTTCCATGTAGAGTGTTAGAACAACGGCAAATGATGGCTAAATTAAGACTGATGAAAATTGTGGACCACAGATGTAAACCTGAATGTAGGCTGCATTTTAATGTAGTATTACAAGCTGAAGCTACTACATCTAAATCACCTTGAGCACCTTTGTGATAGAGCAGGCAATAACAACTATGATGCGAGTGAAGGACTCTAGTCTAAGGACAGTTATAAATTAATTCCCTTTGAATGCCATGTACATGAAACCAGATCCATCATGACAGCGTGTACATGTGGAATATCTAAGTATTTCCTCGACAGATGTGAGTCTTTAAAGAGCAGAGGCTTAAAAATGAATTGTGCTCTGTGTTATAAAGGCTTATACAACTAGCATTTGTGTGTGCCTGCAGCTGGAGGATGTCAGCACAGAGGCCCACAGACTGAGTCGCTGCCTGTCTCAGCCCTCGTTTCCCTCCTTAGCATCCACAGAGGCAGCTGGAGACAAAGAAGAGCAGGCAACTATTCAAAAGGTAAAACTAGTATTTTATACAGTTTATATATTTTATTTTGGACAGACAGAAACCCAAGGCCAGTGAAATTATTAATGAGAGACAAAACAGGAAGTATATTCTTTTTTTTAGTGCGGTGTTGCTCTGTTGGTGTTTCTACAGTTATTTAAAGATCCTAAATTTAAAGATTCATAAAACAACACCAGCAACATCTGGCAATAAGCACCAATTATGCACAGCTTTTTAAAATATGTTATGAATGTATCACTTTTTTTTATTTAAAGTCTACTAAATAAAGCTGTCAGATTAATTAAGTGGTGTAAAATTGAGATTTTCCTATCATTAAATAGAGATGCAAACGTTTAGGTAAACGCTACAAGCTGCTCTCTTACTAGTAAACCATAAACATAACCACATGGTGGCGCCAAGAGTGAGTTTATAGAGAGACAAGTTAAAAAATGCAGCGTATGCATACAGATACCCTTGCACTTGTGCATGAATTACACTTATGCTCACAGATACATGTGTAGACTCGTTTCTCTGGCTGTACAAGCACCTCACCACAGTCATTAGGATTCATCTTCTGTCCACCAAAGATGTCTGAGCTAAATGTCCTGTAAATCCTTCTGCCATCTGTTTAGATATTCAGGATGAATCAGGGTGACTAAAAGATAAGCAGGTTGAATTTAGTTTTACATTCTTTTCCTAATGGCAAGTATTTGAGTATGTAACAGAAATTTAAACATCATTTAAAAAAAAATGTCCCATCAATCCTCCAAAAATAAGATTAACAGTAAATGACTGATGACACAGTTTCAGGCAAAATCAACTACAGTCTTTGGGTCTTTCCTAACATATCCTCTCGTACCAGGTGGATGGATCATTACGATTCTCCGTCTACTATGATCAGATGCAGTCACGTCTGGTGGTCACCGTGCTGCAGGTGGAGGGGCTTTTGGAACAGAGTGAGAGCCGAACCCTCCAACCATTTGTTAAAATACTGCTCTTGTGGGCTGGATCAGAGGCTGTAGAAGTCGAGGGCTTTAAAGATGAAGAGGTAAGTTTGTCATATTATTATTTTCCGTGAACTTATTTTCTTCTTTTTCTTGATACATATTTAAAAAAATACGATCCACACTGTCTTTGAGTTTTCATTCAGCACAGCATCTCTGTACTAAAGACAAAGGTGTCATAAATTACTGGTGTGATCCTCTCAGGGGGAAGATATGTCGCCTGTTCTGTGGACAGTACTGCAGGAGTGGCGTACTCGCATTGTGAAAGGCAGCTGTAACCCTTTATTTGGAGACCAGTTCAGCTGTGTTTTACAAGAGGAAAAGCTTCATCACATGAACCTAAGGATGGAGGTTCTGCACTACATATCTCTCATTCTTAAAACATATTTGTTGGACTCAAACGGTATTGCTTGTACTACATCGTGCATGCAGTTTGCATGTTAGCTGTCACATTTCAAGGGCCAAAGAATTTAAAACCATAAGCACTACAGCTATGTTATAGTACTTTAGTCTCTTTTCACTTGTTGAGAGAAAAAAGTATGAATGATAAATGTTTTTATCTGTTGTGGTGTAAATCATTTATCAGTTGTCTGTATGCATCTCAGGTAAGAGACTTTGATAAATTCTCCAGAAACACAGTGTTAGGAGATGTGAGGGTTCCTTTAGGACAGCTCAACATCTCCTACCCTCTGGAACTACAAGAGGATCTAAAGATACCGCAGAAGGTACTGCAGGGGGCGCACACACACAACACACAGCATGCACACAGGCCTGGCTTTCAGTAGCATCTCAAGTAGTTGATGTTATGTAAAGGTGAAATACAGAGTATGTCAGTATGATTATAAAACTATATAATAACTATATTTAGCCATAATAATAAAAATGAAAGCTAATATTCATTGTGTAACTGGAAATAATTAAACAGACATTTACAGACGTGATAGATGATTGTAAAAATATAATAGAGTACATTGTTATAACTATATAATCCTTCTTCATAGTCCACAAAAAAACTGTTCCATTTTCAGAAAAGCAATATTTTCAATATTTGTTATTGTTTATAGTACCTATGCCTAATATTTTGTCCACAGCATTAATGTACCACGAGTGAGGCGAAATGTAGAATTGCACAGGTGAACCCAAAAGTGCATTTGTGTAGCTAGAATTTTATTTTCCACCGAAAGTTTAGTTTAACTTTTACTGGTTTGTGTAATTTGTGGATCGTATGGCGTCATCAGTATTGTCAATGATATTTCA